TATATATTTTAGAGAGAGAGAGAGAGGGAGAGAGAGCAATAATCTGAGAAGCTGGACTACGCATCAGGATTGGAGGAAGACTCACTAACCACCTGTGATATGCAGATGACAATTTTGCTTGCTGGAAGTGATGACATGAAGTGCTTATTAATGAAGATCAAAAACTACAACCTTCAGTGTGGATTCCACCTCAACATAAAGAAAACAAAAATCCTTACAACAATACTAACAATAACCATCAAGTTAAATGAAGAAAATACTGAAGTTGTCAAGGATTTCATTTTACTTGGATCCACAATCAGAGTCCATTCACCTAGCAGCCAAGAAATCAAACGACATTGTACTGGGAAATCTGCTAAAGACTTCATTAAAGTATTAAACAATGTCATCTTGAGGCCTAAAGTGTATCTGACTCATGGTACTTTAAGTCACTGTATATGCATGCTAAAACTGGACAACTAATAAGGGAGATCGAAGGAGAATTGATGCATCTGAATTACAGTAATGATGAAAAATATGTTGTGGACTTCCAGAAGAACAGACAAATCTATCTTTGAAGAAGTACAGCCAGAATTCTCCTTAGAAGAGGATATAAGATATCATCTCAAGAACTTTGGACATGTTATCAGGAGAGAGCAATCCCTGGTAAAAGTGAGGGTGAGAGAAAAGAGGAAGACCCTCAGCAAGATGAATTGACACATTGACTACAGAAATGGTCTTAAATATAGCAATGATTGTGGGGACAACACAAGACTGGGCAGTATTTCATTCTGATGTATATAGTGTTGCTGTGAGTTGGAACCGACTGGATGACATGTAACAACGATCTTTATAGAATGGAACTGCCTCATCTTTCACCTGTGCAGTGGCTGGGGAGTTCAAACTGCCAACATTTACATTAGCAATCTAGGACTTAACCTGCACAATCAGGGATGTTTGTGAGGAGTCCTGGTGTGGCATCATAGGATAAGCACTGGGCCTCAAGGTCGGTTTGAATCACAAGGTTGGCAGTTCAAATTCACCAGCTGCTCCTTGGAAACCATATACAGGGTCGCTGTGAGTCAGAATTGACTCAATGGCACTTAACAACAAGAAGCATGAGGAAACATCATTGAAAGCGGTTGTTACATTTTGCACTAGCATCAATCATATTCACAGGCAGACTCTTAGCTCAGTTGCTATAATGTATTACAGGGTTAGAAGAGATGTCAGATGTGATTCTCCAAGACAGTAACTACGGAGCAGCCTTTGTGACATTTCCTTCTTCTCAATGTTCATTTAAAAACAATGGTCTTTTGCTTTCATGTCCTTGAAGGGTATTTTTTTTTTTTCTACTCTCTCTCAAACCGTAATACATGATCCCTATGGATATATATTTTTTAGTCTGTGCTTGTTATTGGTCTAATAAACATCCGTTCTATTCCCTATCCTGTAGTTATAATTATTTGTGACCATTTAAAATTCCTTCTCTTCCAAGATTAAAACTGAACCCATTTTTTTGCACTGAATATTGAAAACTTCCCCTTTTATCATTTCTCTTGTGCTCCCTATACATACATATTTCCTTTAAGTTCCTTTGTTGCTTCTGGCTCTACATTTTCTTTTATGCGTTTGCCCTATCTTAAGAATTTCACTTGATCATGCACCAGGTGTCTTCCATTGCCTGCTGTATGAACCTCTAGAGTCTTCCATAGGGAATAGCAACATATAATAATGTTATTAACAGGAAAAGTTTGTGTTCACATGACAAATATCAGAATGTTTTACTACCTACAGAGAAGCCATCCAGGTGATTAACTTTTTCAATTTTTTGTCTAAATAGCTAATCTTCTATGCATGTACCCCTCAACCCCTCCAATCCTCTGTATGCTGCAAACTGTTCTTTATAAGTACGAATCAGTTATTTTCTGAGTTTCCAATGATTAATATTTTCATACCTTTGCCAAACCTCATTATATTTTATAAATCACCATATGCTATAGCAGTAATCTTGAATTTAGCATGCACATTAAAGGAGTCTTATTTTGGTTAAGAGAGGTTTATGCAATCGCTGGAGCTCTTTCTGCTACTGCCATCTAGTGGTTGTTCTCAATATAAGTATTTTCCAGTAATTGTATGTAGTTTGTATTGAAATGGCTAAGGATGCCTAACGATAGGACATAATAGAACTGCCCCAAAGAATTTCCAAAATACATTTTCCATTAATAAAATAAACTTTATTTCACACAGTACTGAAATAATTCTGATTAATGTGGCGTTGTGGCTAATGCGTCAGACTGCAAAGTCGTTTGAACTGCAAGGTCGGTGGTTCAAGCTCACCAGCTGCTCCTTGGAAACCCTATACAGAGTCAGTCGCTACGGGTCGGAATTGACTCGATGGCACTTAACGACAACAACAAAAGATGAATAGGGAAATTTTTTTTTTGTTGAAAGAAACCTCACAATTTCTAGTTGAAGAATTTTTAAATGTATCAGCATGCGAATTCTCTAAAGGATGCCATCTCAGAAATTGTCGTTTTCCCCCTGCACTCACATGCCTCTCACTTCCAGCCACTCTATTAGAGTGTACGGCCCATGACTAATTCTAGTGCCTGTGTACAAAGATCTCCCTGAGAGCAGTGTTGAGTCTGGCAAAGGTAGACAAGATGGGAGGCCACATCTGCTCTTGCTGAGATCTGAAGTTGCTATTGCCAATTCAAATTTTTAATCATGTGCATTAGTGTGGAAAGTGAGGAAGAAATTCATAATAGAATAGGTAGAATGCACTTCTGCCCCCATCTCCACACAGGGCAACTTTGTGACTTTTCGGATTCAAAAATAGAACCAAAAGAGCAAACACACCAAGACTCCCATAGAAACATCACAGCTAAATAGACCAATGTTTTTTCTGAGGTCTTCACAGTTTATAAGCTGGTCATTCTATACAAAACACACTGTGTTTTGTAATAGATCTGTTAGTCTGGAGCAACAGAAGAAGAAAGAGTCTGAGATAGAAGGATATGGAATGTGTGGCTTTTTACCTGGATGCTTGCTTGCCTCCTTTGCCATGAGACTAACAGAAATGGATGGTGCCTGACTATCATTACTGAACATATGGATCAAAGATTCTATAGACGAATCCTGATCAAAAGGCAGAAAATGTAGTAACTATTATCCTTTAAAACTTAAACCAAATATATCCCCTGAAGTCTTCTTAAAGCTAAACAATTCTTAGCTTAACTAGTAAAACATGTATGTGTCTTGAGCATTCTGCTCTTTTAAGACTGATCTATAGTGGATCAAAGGAGCTCTGGTAGCATAGGGGTTATGAATCGGGCTGATAACCTCAGGGTCAGCAGTTTGAAACTACCAGCTGTTCCACAGGAGAAAGATGAGGCTTTCTGCTCCCATAAAGATTTACAGCCTTGGAAACCCTGTACAGGAGTTGGAACTGACTCCATGGCATACCAGGGGCCGTGAGTTTGTGAATGGAGAGGATATAACTTAGAGAAGGAGGATGAGAATGGGTGCAAAACTCAAACTTGTAATCAGTCACTGAATTGCACATGTAGAATCAGCTGAATTGGTGTATGTTTTTCTGTGTTATATTCTCAACAAAAATAACAGAATAAAATTAAAAGACTCCCAAAGCGATGAATAATGACTAGTTCTTTCTTCACTAATCTACTTATGGACATGTTAATCTTTTCCTCATTTGTGGCAGGCTCAGATCAATACATTCTCAGCATTTAGCACAGTGTACCTAATAGATGGAGTTCTGGTTTGGCGCTGTAGGATAAGCACTGAACTGCAAGGTCAGTTTGATCCACAAGGTCGGCAGTCCTCAAAAACCCTATACGGGGTGGCTGTGAGTCAGAACCAACTAGACAACACTTAGCAGCAACAATAACCTAATAGACAACTTCTTGTTGTTTTGTGCTGTCAAGTTGGTTCCGACTCATACCGATCCTGTATAAGGTTTCCAAGCAGCAGCTGGTAGGCTGACTTTGTGTTTCACAATCTAGTACCCATCCTACAGCACCACACCAGGAGTCCCAGTTGTTGTTGTGTGCCATCGAATCAATTCCGACCACCCTGTATAGGGTTTCTGAGGAGCGACTGGTGAGCTAGAACCGTCGACCTTGCAAACCAATCCAACTTCACAATCCAGCGCATTAACCCACAGTGCTACGCCAGGACTCCAGGAGTCCTAATAGATAATAGGAACCAGGAAATAATTGTAGAATCAATCAATTTAGTAGATAAGATAACTAAAGGCTGCCCTGTATAAGGAGGGGTCTAGTTCAGACATTGACTTGGACTATGAATCAGAGATTTGCCTGCGGGACTATAGCATAAGCACTGGACCACAGGTCGGTTTGAACAGCAAGGCTGGTGGTTCAAACCCACCATTCATTCCTTGGAAACCCTATACAGGGTTGCTATGAGTTACAACTAACTCAACGACACTTAACAACATTTCATATTATATTACTCCTGCAATTTCCGTATTTTCCATCACCAGGGCTACTTATCAAGTGGTATATGAAACTAACTTGTAAACCTGATGTCTTAATTTAGATTTTTTGTTTTTGCAGATCTCTACCAAAATCCTTTATGTCAATATAACCTGTACCGTTTGTATATAATCTACCACCTTCCAAGAGTGGAATTGCTTGACCGAAATCGTAAGGATACCTCTTTCTTGCAAAGAAATATTTTTGAGGCAGTATTATAACTCGGTGGACTGAAAATGTAGGCTATTTTTGAAAGGAGTTCTTTGTAAAAGAAACCATTTTTTCAATGATTTATTTTTGAAACGTTGGTCAACTGAAATTTGCCCCAGTTTAAGAAAGAATTCGTGTCTCTTGATCATTTTATTGTAAAGGGCATCTAAGATCTTCCCTTTTTGTCCTGGTTTTGATATTCCTGTTGGATGTCAATGATTTATCCCTGGTAATTTACTATCTAATCTCTAAAATGATATAATTAGACTAAATCTTTTAATACCTAGTTAAGTCCGGAAATCATCTTCTTTGAAAATTTTAAAATATATGTTAAAACTGAAATTCTATAAATATGTATCAATAATAGTTTCACTCTGAAGACATCTTTAGACACTGTATATAAATTATTGTGTTGTTGTTAAGTATCATCGAGTATAAATTAGTATGTCTGATTTATACAAGTCACAAAACAGTTACCTTAGTGTTACATTTGACATTTTTAGAAACCTACTTTATGTCCCAAGTGTTATTACCCATCTGTCTACTCACCTCTCACTCACAGGTTTGAACATTCTCAGAAATTCATTACTGAGGACTCTATGTTTATGAGGATATCAAGACCTTCTGTGCCTTTTCTTCCTCGTAGCCTTAGGAAATAAGGGATGTGTTTTACCCAATATTCCAATCATTTTGGTGATGTGTTACAAAATGTATGGGATGCATTAGACTGCAGGGTTTATCTGAGCTTTGTGACATGAACATTGATAAGGTTATGAAATAACAGTGATATCTCTTTTACAAATTAGTTTTGACAGGATGATCACAAAGAAAGAATCACAGAGCTCAGATAAATAAATTTCTGAAAGTGCCCAATATTTTTTTTTGATTCTTTGTAAATTTATCTACATCACTGTGCAGTAACATTACTTTTTGTATTTATTAGAAGTTACAGAAAAAGAAAGAAGATCAATGATTACCATTTTTAACCATGAAAAATCACATATTATCCAGTCAATTGCATTTGGAGGAAAAGTAGATGCCTCATGGACTCCTACATCACCTTTAAAACAAAAATCAATCCACAGAGTACCCTCAGGTATATTGAAAAAAAGTTTCAGCTCTTTAAATTTCTGAATATTATCATCATCAACATAACTGCAATTACAATAATCTAAGTATATAAAAGGAGCCTTGTTAGTGCTGTGGGTTTGGTATTGGGCTGCAAACTATAAGGGCGGTGGTTCAAACCTATCAGTAGCCCAGGAGAAAGATGAGACCATCTGCTCCTGTACAGGTTTAGAAACCCTGTGGAGCAGTTCTATTCTACCCTATAAGGTAGTTAGGAGTCAGACTTGATTCAAAATCAGAATTGATTCGGTGTCAGGGAATGAGCTGAGTGAGGCACGTTGACAGGAGACCTGAATAAGACCAGTAGAGGAATATTTAGTTCACTAAGATAAGCACTGAACTGCAAACCACAAGGTCAGTGGTTTGAGCCCACTAGCTGCTCCACAGGAAAAAGTTAAGGCTTTCTACTCCCGTGAAGATTTAAAGACTCAGGAACCCTATACAGGGTCACTATGAGTCAGAATTGACTCTACGGTACTTTACAACAAGTGAAATGCATAATCTCACATTAAATAATTTCATTAGTCTAATTAAAATGAGTATGTGATTTTAACCTTTATTCAAGTATACTACATTGAGGTAATGTGATAATAATGATTATACAGTGGGATCCCAATTCCATACCAAACACAGTGTAAAGGGCTCAGTAAATAAGCTAAAGTTCTTATTATTGTTGCTATCATGGGATTTTCACCAATTAAGAAAAAATGTTTTTGGAAAATATAGAAAAAAAAAGATTAAGATGAATGAAGATCATCTGCAATTTTGCCATCCAGAAATAAGCAGTGTCAGTATATTGGTTGCACTCACATACATACTCCTGATATGCATGTATAACTTGAAAGTCTTCAGTGATATTTTATCAGTTAGAATTACATTCCTTTTATGTAACAGCAATCTAACTACAGTGGCTGAAACAAATGGGGGTTTCTCTTTCACACCTAACAAAGAGCACAAAGGTAAGGTGTCCATGTTTAGTGTACAAATTCCATCAATATATGTCATTTTACTCTGCCACTTTTAGTGTGATTTATAGCGACAAAGTAGCTAATTTACCACTAAGCATGACATCATCATTCCAGGAAGAGGGAGGGATGAAAACAGTACAAAAATTATATATATATATATATATTTAATTGCAAAGAGATGATATATGCTTGGAAGTGAGTCAAATAGGTTTTCTAGAAATTAAAGCAAAACTCTTAAATTGGAAGATGGTGGTGGTGGTTGGTGGTTATGTGCTGTGGAGTTGGTTTCTACTCATAGTGATCACCCTGTACAGGGTTTCCGAGGCTGTAAATCTTTCTGGAAGCAGAAAGCTTTATCTTTCTCCCAAGGAACTGCTGGTAGTTTCTAACTGCTAACGAGATCAGCAGCCAGACTAGTAACTATTATGCTACCAGAGCACCTAGTTTTGAGGAAATAAATGCAATTTATTTATTGTTTCCTCAAAAAATGCAATATAGAGAATTTTTTTAAAAAGATGACAATTAGATGTTGAAACAGAAGATAGTAGAAAGAGAAGATCAGAAATAAGTTTATTAACAATTTCTGAAGAAAAAGAAAATTGAGAAGGTGATGTTTGAAGTGATAATAGTTGGGAATTTTAAAATGTTGATAGATGACATGAATCCTTAAGATTCATCAGAAAAAAATGAATCCAAAGAAATATACATTTAAAAAGAAAAACCACACCAAACACAAAAAGAAAATCTTAAAGCAGACAAAAAGAAAATTCAGATTATCTACAAAAAGAATCCTGATGTGGTACAGTACAATAAACACTCACCAGCCACTCCTTGGAAACCCTATAGTGTCGCTATGAGTTGGAACTTACTGGATGGTACTTGCCAACCACCATTACCACCACAAAAGAAAACATAAAGATTAATAGCAAACTTCCCAACTACAATCATGGAAGCCAACAGAAAGTAACCTAATGCTTAAAAATGCTGATGGAAAGTAATGATTAAATAAGAATTCTATAAATGGATACATTTTTATTCAAAAAGGAAAAATAAGGGGGAAAAAATAAGAATGAAGAAGAATATTCTTCCCTTGACTTTTCGTTGTGAGATAGTCTTATATATAAAAAGTTGAAATAATAGTAAAATAATACATATATATGCCCAAACATATTCAACAACTATTAGTATTCTACCACATTTGCCTCCCTTCATATATATATAAGGCCTTCTGAAAAACTTTTACTTACATCTCACAGGTTGTCTCTATTTAAAGTTTCAGCGTCTAAATTCACTTCACTTCTAAATAATTAATTTAGCCTGAAAGTTTAACAATAAGGGCATTTGTGTGTATACACAATTGATACAATGCTGTTATCAAAGCTAAGAAAATCAGTAAATTCATATACATTTTATAACGTACAGTCCACATTCAAATTCCACAATTGTCCCAAAATGCATTCTGCTGTTGTTTAGTTTAAGCCAAGATGAAGATGAGGGGGATAAACAACATAACTCGTGTATTATTAGTGGGAGTATAAACTGACTCAACTTCAGAAGACCATATGGCAATATTTATCAATATATAAAATGTGCAAACAATTTGGCAACAGTAATTCAATTTGAAGTATCTCTCTTACAGAAGTACTTGCATCCATGGACAGAGATGTGTTTAAGGCTTTTTTGCAGCATTTCTTTTAAAGTAGTAAAAACAATTAAAGCAATTTAAAATTAAGGAATAATTAATATGGGAATGTTAAAATAAATGATAACAGTCATACAATATGAATTGTTCCATTTTAGAACTATCTCATAATATATTTTGAGCATGAAAAACACATTACAGAATAATGCAATGCAGAGTTATGGCAAAATTGGAATTTGGCAAACAAATTCGTGTAAGTATGGGCATGTGAGAACACGTGTGTGTACACACAAAGAAGGCTAGAGTCATACACACAAAACTCTTTATATTGTCAATTCTAATAAGAGGAAGTGGGAAGGTGAAAGAGAGATTTTACTTTTTTCTTTATTTCCTTTATTGTTTATACTCATTATAAGGAAAATGTGTGCCTTTTTGTAATTAAAAACATAGAAAAGAAAACAGTCTGGGAAGATTAGGAAGACTTCAATCAGCCATTTGTGAAGGAAACCATGTCTTGAACCTCTCCTAACTAAGCAGAGTGTGTGTGTGCTTTCTGCCCTGCCTAACGTTCTCCTCTGCTTGAGGATTGGCAAGAGCCCATAGTGTGAACTTTGGTGGCCCAACAGGTGTTGGTAATTTCCATCTCTAATCTGGCACGAGGCCTTCTAGAGAGGAATAAACAAAGTAATGCCAGTCTCTGGAAGATACCAGAAGAAATCCAGGCTCTAAGGACTAGCCTTTGAGCTCCAAAGCTAAGGAAGAGATAGATTCTTGTGATCTAGGATTTACTCCATTTCTTTGAAGTTAGTGCCAAGAATCCAAATGGTTTAAATATTTCTCATTTTGTCAATTAGGCCATTTTTAGATGCATGTGGTTATCTGGGGAAAAAAAAAAAAAAAAAAAAGATCTGTTTCTACATCTGGACTTCAATATCTTTATTATAAAAATCCCATTTGGATTTCCATTAGTAACTAAACCGATTAAGCATTCCGTTCTCAGGCTTTTCAGATTCATATATTAATACAGAATTTGCTCTAACATTTACAGCAAAAATCAACCTTATATAAGAAAAATTTTCATTTTGGATTAGATATCAAAGGTATGTTTTGAAAGAAAGATCTATTTATCTAGGTGACTGATCAAAACCAGAAAACTACTTTTATAGCATTGTATTATCTTTAATTGCTGAATAAACATTTGAAAAATACTAATTTAGAAACTCTTATTTTTTTAGATTTTGCATTTGGGAATAATGTAGACAAGTAAGTAATACTTTTATTATCAGATTATTTCATAATTTTTCTGACTCCCTAAATTATTCTCATTTCCTAAAATAGATTTTAATGAATTAAAAATTGACTAGCTCTTTAGTAGATGAGGAAAATTGAAATCCTTCCATAATAAATTAATTCAGCCTATGTACTTGTGTGACATTTAGGCTTTAATATTATGTTGTTGTTGTTGTTAAGTGCCGTAGAGTCGGTTCCGACCCATAGCAACGCGGTATAGGGTTTCCAAGGAGCAGCTGATGAGCTTGAACTGCCGACCTTGCAGTTCAAATGGCTTTGCAGTCTGGTGCATTAAACCACAGCGCCACACTGTGACTTGATACATTAAATAAATTGCATTAAGAACTATTAGTTATTTAAAGAAAGGCTTTCCCTCGTTTATTTATTTCCTCTAAAGATGTTCAGTGAGAGCAATTATCATATAGATTACTATTTTACTATCACTAGAATTTAAAATTTTCAAAGCAAGTACTTCATTAATATTATGAATGATTCCAAATTCATGAATAATGGCCACTTATTGTCATCATTCCTTTTTATTTTTGAACCTAGGAATTCTTTCCTTTGGATTCCATGTTGGAAAGTACTCCCTCTATGCACATTTATAAAATATAGCATAATAACTTAACAACAACAACAAACTGGTTTTAAAACATGAATATAGGGGGCCTGGTGTGGCTCTGTAAGATAAGTACTGAACTGCAAGATCAGTTTGAACTATAAAGTTGCCAGTTCAAACTTACCAGCCACTCCTTGAAATCCCTATAAGGGGTCGCTATGAGTTATAACCGACTCAATGGCACTTAGCAACAACAACAAACTATATAGCAGATCTCCAAAAACGTTCCAATACTCTACTTTTAAAATAATATATACAATAAACATAAGGTGCTCTGCTAGTGTAGTGGTTACGAGTTGGGTTGCTAGCCTTAAGGTCAGCAGTTCGAGACTACCAGCTGTTTCGCGGGAGACAGATGAGGCTTTCTGCTTCTGTTAAGATGTACAGCCTTGGAAACCCTTCACAGGGTCAGTATGAGTTGGAATTGACTCCACGCCACACCTCCACCACCACTTAGACTAAAAATGTTTTGTCAATAAAGCCTAAGAAATATTTACTAGTGGTACTGAGTCCTGGTGTGGCTCTGTGGAAAAGTCATGAACTCTGGTAGAGACAGAATCAGCATTTCAAACCCACAGCTCACTCTTGAAACTGACTTGATGACACACAACTACAGAAAGAAGTTGTAATGACAGGATATGACATAAATGTGTGCCATTTATTTACTTAAATAAACAATTCATTTTGCTTGGTCTAAATTTTTTTTCTGACATAACTGCTATTCTTGCAGAACTGTGTTTGATAACTCAGAAGATGCTGTTTTTGTAAGATCCATGAAGAGATCATTGATGGCTATTACCTCTGTGAACTGGGACACAGTTCCAACACGAGATGAAAAGTACCTTGAAGAGAGAGTCACAGAACCTGCTCAAATGCTCACAATTACACTGAGATAAATCCTAGCATTTCTAGAAATCCTAGTGGTTTTCAGTTGAATGTAAAACATCCCTGTTATTTAGCACATATTTATTATGATGTTAACCTGAAACATTTCAATATAAATGGAAACACTAATAGCAACAAATAATTCCTACATCTTAGATTTCTTAGTGTAAAGTTTCTGTTGAAATAAAACATGCATGTAAAAATGTTTACAGTATGTGTTCAGCTCAACACATTGAAAAAAAACTGCCTGCTTATGTCATCAGCATCAGAACAAGTAATAAAATATTACCAGCACTGGTGAAATCCCTCATTCCTGTCACCAGCCATTACCCCCTCTTCAAAAGTAATCATCCTGATTTCTGGACCATAAATTAATTATGTCAATTTTGAAAGGTATGTAAATGGAATCATAGAAGTCTTTTGTGTTTAACGTCTTTCATACGGTACTATAAGGTTCATTCCTGTTGTTGCTAGTAGCAATAATTCTGTCATTCTCAGCACTGTATATTATTCTATTGTATGAATATACAATGATTTTTAAAATCCAGTCTACTGTTTTTATTCTCGCCTCTGGAGGCATCTGCCAATTCTGAGTGTGGGCTAATGACCTGAGCTTGGCTCAGGCAGAAGCCTGCAGCTAGAGGAATGAGAAACGAGAAAAGCTTTTAGCAGTTGCCTGGTGCTGAGTGACAAAATTGGTCATTTAAGGTAACTCAAAGGCATAGCTGATTTTCCCAGAAGACATTTGCTGTGTTCTGAAGCTGGGTAGGAGACTCATGAGCTAGATCCAAAATTGTATAAAAGACAGAATGAGACAGCTGCAGTGATACACGTAGGAGACACAGCCACACTGTAGAAGTGAGACTAAAATCAAAACAAGTAAGCGATGAAAGCTCTAGAGGGAGTAGTGAATTGATACTGAGAACCTACAGCTTCCATTCATCTGGACGCATTAGCACTATGTTGTTAGAAGTATCAAGTCCAATTCTAACTCACAGCAACCCTGTATGGGGTTTGCAAGGAGCAGCTGGTGAGTATGAATTGCCAACCTTGTGGTTCACAGTCCAATGCTGATCCTACAGCGCCACACCAGGATGCACCATGTTGTTGCTGTTCAGTGCTGTCGAGTCAGTTCCAACCCATAACAATCCTATCTAGGGTTTCCGAGGAGTGGCTGGTGAGCTTGAACCACCGACCTTGTAGTTCAAACCAACTTTGCAATCTAGCACATTAACCCATAATGCCCACTCTAGCTGCTGATAAAACAATGACTTTCTGGAGGTCTCTTATTTAATATAAGGAGTTCTGGTAGCCTAGTGGTAATGAATTGAACTGCTAACCTCAAGGTCAGAAGTTTGAAACCACCAGCTGTTCATGGAAAAAAAGATGAGGCTTTCTGCTACCATAAAGATTTACAGCCTCAGAAACCCTATACAGGGTCGCTATGCATTGGAACTGATTCCACGGCACATAACCACCACACCACCATTATTTAATATAGGAGTCTTTACGTGGTGCTGTAGGATAAGCACTTGACGCAAGATCGGTTTGAACCACAGGGTCAGCAGTTCAAACTCACAAGTCGCTCCTCAGAAACCTTATACAGGGTTGCTATGAGTTGGAACTGACTTGACAACACTTAATAACAAAATAATTCATAGCTGCAGAGATAATACATTTAAAAAGTGGACATATTAAATATTTATATTAACATTAAAAGTATATTGAGTAGTTGTTAAGACAACAGTTTTCATTGAGTGCCAGTTTTGCACCTTTTGGCAAGTTAGGTATCCTTTTTCAGATTGTTGACATTATCCTCATCTTGTTGTTATTTGAGCACTGGTGTGGTACTGAAGGATAAACACTGAACTGGTAACCACAAGGGCAACAGTTCAAACTCACCAGCAACTCTAGGAAACCGTATACAGGGACACTGCGCTGTTGTTCTTAAGTGCCCTGGAGTTGGTTTCAACTCATAGCAACCTGCATAGTTTCCCAGGCATGGCTGATGAATTTGAACAACTAACCTTGTAGTTCAAACCGACCTTTTGGTCCACACCAGGATTTACAGCACTACACCAGGACTCCATTGTGTTGTTAGTTGCCATCAACTTGATAGAACTGCCCCAAAGGGTTTTCATGGTTGTGACCTTTAGAAAGCAGATCCTCAAATCTTTCTTTTGAGTCACTTCTAAGTGGATTTGAAATGCTAATGTTTCAAATAGTAGTTAAGTACTTGATTACTGTCTATACTACAGAGAAACTTCTCATCTGTGTTATGGGGATACAAACAAAGACTAAGATTGTTGTGACTATTAAGCAAGATAGTGTCAAAGGCCTAGTAACTTTCAGCATTCTTACTGTTGCTGATGTTGTTAAGTGCTATAGTGTCAGTTCTAACTCACAGCAACACTGTATAGGGTTTCGTAGGAGCAGATAGTGGGTTTGAACTGACATCCTTTTGGTTCACAGTCCTTTGTTGTTAAATGCCATCAGTCAGTGTTAGCTATGATTATTACCTATTGAAAGAGGCTCTGGTAGCATAGTTGTTAGATGCCATGAAGTCGGTACCAACTCATAGTGATCCTATGCACAACAGAACAAAACACTGCCGGGTCCTGGGTCCTGGGCTAACCTCAACAATTGTTGCCACACTTGAGTTCATTGATGCTGCCACTTTGTCAGTCTATCTCGCTGGAAGTCTTCCTCTTTTTCTCTGACCCTCCACCTTACCAACATGATGTTCATCTCCAGCCACTGGTCCCTCCTAACAATATGTCTGAAGTATGAGAGATGAAGTTTGGCCATCCTGGCCTCCAAGGAGCACTCTGGCTGCACTTCCTCCAACACAGATCTGTTTGTTCTTTTGGCAGCCGATGGTACTTTCAATATTCTCCTCTAACACCATAACTCTGGTAGCAGTTGTTAGGTTCCATCGAGTTGGTACTGACTCATAGAGACCTTAATGCACAACAGAATGAAACTCTGCCAGATCCCAGGCCAACCTCACTACTGTTGCCATGCTTGAGTCCATCGATGCTGCCACTTGGCCAATCCATCTCATTGGGGGTCTTCCTCTCTTTCTCTGACCCTCCACCTCACTAAACATGATATCCTTCTCCAGTGACTGGTCCCTCCTAACAATATGTCCGAAGATGGGTTATAAATCGGGCTGCTAATGCAGGCTCAACAGTTTGAAACTGCCAGCTGCTCCATCAGGGAAAGATGAGGTTTTCTGTTCCTGTAAAGATCTGCAGCCTTGGAAAACCTATTACAGGTTTGCTATGAGTCGGAACCAACTCTACCGCATATGACCACCACCACCATTGCCTATTGCATACAAAAGGAGTCCTGGTATTGTAGTGGTTAAGTGATCAGCTTCTAACAGAGTAGTTTCAATCTACTCTGCAGCTCCATGAGAGAAAGACCTGATGATCTGATCCCATAAATATTATAGCCAAGAAATCCTTATGGGGCAATTCTACTCTGTTACATGTGGTTGCTATGAGTCAAAATCAATTCAACAGCACGTAACAATAACAACAATAACTGAATTGAAAAGCAAGTCTGTCCAATTACCTAGTAAGCTTACTGGCCAATTAATTATTTACTCTCTGCTTTATGTATAAGAATTACTAGACTTCTGAGGTGGGAAATTTCCACTTGAAAGGACAAGCAGACCAGCCTGGAGCAGCTAGAAGAACAGAAGATACTTGAACGAAAGACTGACAGGAAAAATACAAAACAATAATGGTAGTCCAAAGAACAGGCAAGTTGCTCACTCAGGAGACATCAAGGCAAGTGATCGGGTACCCTCAGGGCAAACCCCCCTTCCAAGACTAAAACTCAATGGGAATACACGGGCAGACATTCACTCTGATTGGTGACCACATTCATCACCAATAAAGGGAAGTGAGGGAAAAACAGCAAGGAAGCTGTGAGCTAAGCCCTACATACAACGTTCATTAGACTCCTGTGAACCCGGGTGGAGACCTGGTTGGCTAGCAGTGTGGCAAGACCTGGGGATAGGTCTCTTGTGGTACAGTAGTGAATAATTGCTATCAGGATTGACTGTGAGGGTTGGAAAAGGAGGGGAGTGATTGACTTTGCAGTCCAGGAGCAGAAGTCCCTGGAACTATCAAGGGAGAAGAGTGGAGAGCGGGACCCTACCCAGAGAAACAGTGACACCAGAGATGGAGGCAGAGATGATGATGTGGAGAGATGGAGTGGCTGGTGGACTGTAGACCCAGAGAGGGAGAGGGGCTGTGTGCTGATTACCCGGGGGCAGGCTTGCAGGGGTATACCCTTTGGTTGGTTGATGATGCATGGAGGTTATTGTAACCATTGCAATGAAACTATATACGATAAGATGAATGTAAAGCTAATGTTCTCCCATGTAAACTATCACATACCTCACAGTAAAACATTAAAAAAAAAAAAATCATTAGAATATTAAGAATATTCTTCTAGATCCTATGCTTTAAGAGAAATTTCTTGCTAGCACAATGAAAATGTTACTAGCATTTTAAAAAAATGTTATTTTAAAAAAAAGAGATTAATCAGCACACCCACTTGTTTGATAGTATTAAGGTAGAAAGAATCTGTCCATTTTAGATTATATGTGATGAATGAGGGCTTATATTCAGAATTAACCTATTTTCTTGTAAAGCTTATTTCTTGACTATCTCTTCTATAACACACATCTGAGAATTTTGATATTGACATAGCTTATACCTCAAGTCCTCTTGTCTAATGTCTAGATTTCTATTAACGCTATGCTAGGAGCCCTGGTAATGCAATGGTTACGGTCTAGGAAACTCTATGGGGCACTTCTTCTCTGTCACTGGTAGCTATTAACCATATTAGCAAGTCATCTCTATGTAGGAAAAAAAATCACCTCTATATTAGTACACCTCTTCATTTTTGTATTTCCTTCTACTTTTTCACAACCACCCATTGTATCCAAAACAGGGACCATGCCCTTTGCCAGAACCCAGTAGAGTATCAGAGAGTAGAAAGGGAGAAGAATGATAAGACAAACATATAAAAGAATTTTAAAACAAGGAACTCTAGCAAAAATGTTTGCTTATGTAAGAGGGAAGCCCAGGTGGACTATATCACTGTTTAAAGATAAACGTTTTCCAGAGGGAGAGAAGCACTACCTTGCTGAATGACATTTTCCAAGAAAGACATCTCATACTTGACAAGTTCAGATAAAATTTGCTTGCAAAATTAACACTTAACATTGATTCTACTCACATGAAGTCTTCCTCTAATGGTATGGTTGTTACAGGATACATTAGACAGTGTGTTAGGGTAAAGAAAATGTGGAAGAAAAATCGAATGTGAGGATGAGGAAAACTAGCAAAAGAAAAGAATTTGACCAGTAAAGCTAAGTAAGAATTCTATAATTTGATCTACAATTACACATATTGAAATGATTATTAAAATGACTAGGGAATTTGCTAAATACCCTACAATTTGTTAGGTGCTCTAACACTTGCCCCCACTCATAAACAGCAATAATTCATGAAATAAGATGTGAGCCATTTATCATAATAGGTGCAATTTATTTTACAATCAACAAGAAACTTGGAAATGCAGCATTCTCTTCAGATATCACATACTCTCATTCTTTTTAAAAATTTCATTTACTAAAAATTAATGCCAGGACTTTTCATAAATGATAGTTGCGAGTTACAATTTCTGGACAGGAAAAGACTATGACAAGCTTACAGGAAAATAACAGTCAGCCCTCCAGATGGGAGTATGGCACATGAATTAATTTGACAATAAGTGTACGCTTAGCGATTTTATTTAATCAAAAATGTGATGAGCCATTTTTTGTTAATGCACATGCTGAGATCGCCTAGCTCTGCTTTAATTCCTTCTGAAGGACTGGGCATTTCTGAAGGTACACAGACCAAGGACAAAAAGTCACCGAAGGAACTACACAAAGTGTGGACTGTTCAGGATAATTTCTATAAAAATACTACCATCTGCTGAACATCCTTGAACATAAAGTTTTTATAACATTGCATCTTAATAAGTAGAAGTTTGCTATTGCAAATACCATGAGGGTAAGTCAAAAAGGTATTGCTATAAAATCACAGAAACCTTTATTAAACAAAAATATCAAAATTGAAGCAATGGTTTCTTAACTTATCATCCATTGAAGTCTATACCCTTCTGAATGCAGTGTTTCCAGGTTTCTAACCCTTCTCTAAAGAATTCTGAGCTCTTTGGTTTGCAAAATGGCAGATTTGCTATCCTTGAGGAACTCAAATCATATTCCTTTTAAATGTTCTTTAAGCTTCAGGAACAACAACAACAAAAGTCTGAAGTGTTAAGATGAAGGCTAAAGGGTGAATGGAGAAAGGTTTCCCAACAAAATTCTTGTAGGCAGCCCTTGCTACCCTCAAAGAATGAGCGGATGCATTATTGTGATGGAAAATCATTCCTTGGTGCAATTTTCCTAGCCTTTTTTTCATCAATACATTAAAAAAAAAAAAAAAACTTATTCATAATAAGCCCCTGTGACTGTTCGGTGTCCCTCAAGAACATTTATCAATATTACCCTTCAGAGTCTCCTAATAGTCACCCAAATAGTCACTATAACCTTCTGAGCTGCCCTCTCTACCTTGAATGTAACTGGCCCAGAAGATCCGTTTGGAAGTCAGTTTTGATTGGCCTTTCTTTTTTTTTTAAGGAATCCTAAGGAGCCTACGACAAGTGTGTTACTGAAAGAACCTGTCTGCAGTTATTCATTGATTACAGAGACAGGCTCAAACACATTTTATTTAGAATAAACCCATGTATGTATAAACCGGAACCTGAGTTGCAATACTTTTTGACCTACACTTGTATTTATAGGTATTTTATGCACATATTTAGTTGGTGGTGTTAAATGTGGTCAAGTTGGTTCTGACCCATAGTGAACCTATATAGGGTTTCCGAGGAGCGGCTGGTGAACCTGAACTGCTGACCTTACACTTCAAACCGACTTTATAGTCCAGCGCATTAGCCCACAGCACCACACCAGGACTCTTTATACACACATAAGTAACCAATTTTTTTAACTGTCCTCTGTAGTGATTTTCTGTTCTGATAATTATCGCTCTCTCTTACCTGTTCTGCTTGTTCCTTGGCTCCCTGAAACCTATTATTTCTTCTTTAAGGACATTTATTTTCCATTGAGAACAATTGCTGAAAAGCGGGCTTCAAAAATGAAATAGAAATGATTTAACCTATATTTTAGGGGGAACTTTTTACCCCCATAGGAATATTTGTTCAATTGGTTATGTACTGTGGAGTCGGTTCTGACTCATAGCGACCCTGTACAGGGTTTCCGAGGCTGTAAATCTTTACGGGAGCAGAATGCCTCATCTTTCTCCCACAGAACACACACAGCACATACTTTTAAACTGCTGACCCTAAGGTTCGCAGCCCAATTTGTAACCACTACTCTACCAGAGGTCCTTGTTCAATTATAATCCAGAAATCAATTAGAGTAAAGTAGACAGAGGTTTGCTTGGAAGTGCCTATTCTAGGAAATGTGGGACCCTGCCAAAGTGCCATACAGCTGCCATGAGGCAGAGGACATGGTCATGTGAGTTTTCCAGGTACCTGCCAGGGTGAGGAGCCACCAGGCTGGCATTTGCTGCCTTTCACTCCTCAGATGCTTGTGGACTTGAAGGCTCATCCTGTACACCTTCCAACCCAGCAACACTCTGGAGAGATTCTTTCTCCCCTTCCACAGAATCTTTAGTATTGGAATCCTCTTGAATGGAATCTTCTTGGGAGGTTCCTGTTTCAACATTTGATTGTTCTTCAGTAACACAATTAGAATTGAAATCGAGTTTGCCATCTGATAAAACACACAAAAAAACAAAACAACAGTTATTTTGTTCTTAACATGTGCCAGGCACTCTTCTATGTACCTTATACATATTAACTCATTTAATTTCCATTTGACAAACGAGGAGACTGAGAACAGAGGTTTAAAATTGGCTCAAAGTTGCACAGCTTCTAAGCTGAAGAGCCTGGATTTGAACGTAGCCTTGATTTCTGACAAAATCTGTTTGAAAACAACAAGGCCATTAATTAGCTTGATGTTTTGTAGTGGTGTCTTGCCTCCATATGAGGTTGTTTCTTTATACAGTAGGGATAATAAAGCCTATAGTACATTTATGAAGAATAAAGGTGATTATAATAACACTTTGCTAATTAACAATGGGAAGCCACCATTCTACTAACTACTATTCTTTCATGATGGCCTACTCAGTATGAGTGCAGTATCTTTGTCCTCAACACACAGGGTACAAAGTCTGGTCCAGGAAACAGAAGGCACGGGAGTCAGAAAGCCTGACTGAACTATGGTTTAATTTTGTACCAATCATTTGTTTCTACTAAGATAGTATTTCTTAGCCAAGCTGTAAAGGGAGAATGGAGGCGGAAATATGCCTTGTGTCAGAATCACTTGGGTCATTTTTCAAATTACATACACTCCCCCCAGAATATAGTATATATTGTCTGAGGCAGCAATGGAAGTAGGGGGCTCTTCCTCCTTCTCCAATATGGGAATCATTGCTGATGCAGCTCCCTACTCCTGATGAAAATGAATCATACACCTTATTTGGTGGTGGTGGTGGTGTGCCATGGAGTCGGTTCCAACTCATAGCAACCCTGTACAGGGTTTCCGAGACTGTAAATCTTTACAGGAGCAGAAAGCCTCATCTTTTGCCTGTGGAACAGCTGGTAGTTTCAATCTGCTGACCTTGAGGTCCGCAGCCCAACTTGTAACCACTACACTACCAGAGCTCCTTATACCTTATTTAGAACGGCAAAAAAATAAACCAAAAAACCATGTAACTCAATGCTCTGATACTTGTAGAAACTTAATATGCATTTTGGATCTGCAATGTAGCCTGTAATTTAAAATTTTGTAATTTCATCTGTATTTTTGAAATTTAAGAGGCTTGAAAGCTTCCAAGCTTAAAATCTTTTGGGAGTCACAAGGGGAAATTAAATTTTCTTATCTAAAGACTTTAAAGTCTTTCTTAACAAAATATAGGCAAACACCCACTGGAGTCTCATCTACCAACAAGTAGAATATGGAACAAAGTACATTTCTCAGAATCCAGACTGACCACATTCTATGCATTATCCCAAAGACTTAAAAAAGGAACACACTGATTTTAATGTAACCCTGACGTTGGTCATGTCTGAGCTTCCTTGGTCCCCAGAGAAGACCTGCTCCTGTGTGCTCTGTGCTAACATCACCCAGCACTCTGCTCCCCACTGAGCACTTGCATAAGCAAACTTGTCATATGTATACCATTCTCCTCTGGAGTCTTTCCTTTTGCAGCCTCCAACTGTTGTTTCTCATAAATGTCCTTCAGATTCTTACAGATTTTTTTATGTGTAAACCAGTGTGTTTTCTGGCAGGTTTGATCACAATATATGACCTGAAAGCAATTAAAGGTTTATTATCATATCAAGAGTTATGATTGCATGGATTTCCAACTATGACATTAAACCAAGAAATTTGTTGTAAAGATGTTAGATTTTCCACGTTTTATTTTAAAAACATGATGTATAAATACGTCTTAGTTAAGACTTGTAATTTTTTATTTAGCTTTATAACCACTGCCATTGAATCTATTCCAACTCAGACTGATGCTATAGAGGGTTTCCAAGACTGTGAAGGTAAAGCACACAGCTTCATCTTTCTCCAGCGCAGTGCTGAGAGGGTTTGAAATGCCGACCATGAGGTTAGCAGCAAGAAAGTTTACTGAACACTCTAATAAATGGTGTATAAAGACCCTATTATTTGTGAGATATAATAATAGAGAGCAGTCCTGGTGTGGTACTGTAGGATAAGTACTAGACTGCTAACCACAAAGTCAACAGCTCAAATCAACCAGGTTGTCTTTGGAAATCCTATACAGGGTCACTATGATGCAGAACCAGCTTGAAGGTACTTAACAGCAGCAACGACAATAAAAATGATAAAGAAAATACAGTTATTGTCCCAGAGAAGCCTAGAGTTGCTAAGAAACCGGAGGATGGGGCAGGTGAGAAGGAGGCAGAGACATAAGTGATTCGGATCTAGGAGAGACAGCTATGGGAGCAGAGAGGAAGCAGTCACTCACTCTGGGTGCAGAGGACTCAGAAAACAGATAAATGGGAAAGAAGTTCTCGTGGTGAAGGGGATACCTTGGACAAAAATGCAGAGATGGGCTCATGTTCAAGGGCAGCAAGAAGTTTGAATTATAGGACAGCAAGACCTTAGATTTTTGCATGGGGCAACAGAGATGAGAATGAACCCCACTGAACATGTATATGCAAAGCACTGTATATAAACTGAATTGTAAATTACATATCTAGACCTAATTATTCACTCCTTCCTGCATCCACACACTTTTGGATGTGATTTCATAGTTCCTCTTACTAAGAGCTTTGACTGTAGATTTTTGTCATCTGACTTATTTTAGCCAATACAATGAGACAGCATGGAAATTTTGAGATTTAGACCCAAGAGTCCTTCTTTACTTCTGTCTCTTCTAGTGCCATGGAATATGCTCAAGGTAGGATAATGATCCACAGACGAAGAAAGACATGTGGAGCAGAGCTGTCTCAGATAAGTCTAGCCAAGTACAAATAGGAGAAAAGCAGAGATGAGTAGGAGAAGTAGATTATGGTAGATAATACACTAAAAAATATCAACCTTAAAATCTGTAGGAAAATGACATTACCTATAGGTCAATTGAGTGTACAGATATATGCATGTGTGCAATGTGAATGTTTAAGAAGAACATGATCACATGTGCCATTTATGAAGACAGCTCTGACAGAAGTGAGGAGTACTGTGCAGTACAGATAAAGCACTTTTACAAGTTCATAAACAGACTGTAGTTAGAGTCAGTAACAGAAGGGTTACAATGATAGATTTCAGAATTATCCTATTCTGGGTTCCCATATCTATACTAGCCTCAGTATCAATGTTCTGTGGGTACCCCTTTTGTATTTTGTTTTCTCATTCATTCATTTTCCTCCCTCTTCCTCTTTGGAGTGGTTAGCTTAGAAATTAAGGCAGCCTGGAATTTGACAAAAAAAAGACATAGCATATAATTATATCTATACTATAGGTTTCTTCCAAAATTACTTCTTACATATGATTGGGGCTTAAATGAGCTTGTGGGAAATTCCATTATCTCTTAATTCCATTTTCACACTACAAACTTTTTGACACACTCTTGTATTAGATTGGATTTGGTTCTGACTCACAGCTACCCTATATAGGATTTTCAAGGCTGTACATCTTTATGTGTTTCTCTGCTACTCATGAGGTTTTTGGTGACTAAATATTCAGAAGTAGTTAGTCACTCTTTCTTCCTAGTCTGTCTTCATCTGGAAGCTCATCTGAAACCTGTCCACCATGGGTAATCCTGCTGGTATTTAAAATGCCGGTGGCTACAGAACAGAGTCCAACTGCCTCAAAATCACAGCAACTCACAAGCCACCACAGTACAACACACTGACAGACAAGTGGTGGGTTATGGAATTGAAGCTTTTGAGTTATGGTGTTGGAGAATATTGAAAGTGCCATGGACTGCCAAAAGAACCAATAGATCCATTTTGGAGGAAGTGCAGCCAGAGTGCTCCTTGGCGTTCAAGATGGCCAAACTTTGTCTCTCATACTTTGGACATATTGTCAGGAAGGACCAGTCACTGGAGAAGGATAACATGTTTGGTAAGGTGGAGGGTCAGAGAAAAAGAGGAAGACCCCCCCAACGAGATGGATTGGCCAACTGGCAGCATTGATAGACTTAATCGTGGCAACAGTACTGAGGTTGGGCCAGGATTGGGCAGTATTTCATTCTGCTGTGCATAAGGTCGCTATGGGTCAGTACTGACTCGATGACAACAACAACAACACATCTTTATGTGAGCAGAAAGTCTCATCTTTCTCCCACAGAGTGGTTGGTAGATTTAAACCGCTAACTTGGGGTTAACAGCCCAACTCATAACCCACTACGCTACTAGAGCTCTTTGGGAAGAAAACTAGAGTACTGGAAATTATACAACAAAAATGGAATGAATGAGGATGATGACATGTTCTAAAAAATGTAACCAATGTCAATAAACAAACTGTATAGGAATTGTTACATGGGGACCTAATTTGCTGTGTAAATTCTCAACTTAAAGACTACAAAATATGGTTTTAAAAATATGGCTTACAGACAACGTATTCAACTGTATTATAAAATTAATGTGCTAGACAAGTCTACTCATATTTACAGAGCATTAAAACCTAAAACTAACTTGAAAGAAAATCCAAAATCAACTATCCATGAACTTAAGAGAACTTCATTCTTACCATTTTGCATACTGAACATCTTTTACTTGCTCCTTTTTCTCCACAGGTTGTGCAAAATTCAACATCCACAAAACCCACTTGACCAGTGATGGCTTGATTAAGTACGGAGAATGCAGTGGGATCAGACCCCTACAGTGGATATAAAGGGCAGGAAAAGAATTCTAAAATCACCATGGAAAGATTATTATAGAGATGTCATTCATGAACAATGTTGTCTAGAAACAGACACACAAAAGAAGAAATCATTAAGTCTTAGGAGTGCACAAAAGGATCCCAGTAGGGCAGTTGATTAAGTGCCTGGCTGTTCATCAAAAGGTCAGGGGTTAGAATCCAGTTACCCACAGAAGAAAAATGTGGCAGTCTGTACAGACATTGTGGGAAAAGGACAAACATCCTACCCTTTCAAGGATACCTCTTCTACACAGAGTACACATTTGGAAAGGTAAGTCACAGATCTCAATAATTAAAAAGAATAAAAAGATCTTTCTCTAAAAGAAAAAGTATTTTTCATTTGGGATTATTAGATAAGCTTGCACTGATTCAGATATAGGAAACTCAGAGTAGAATTTTCTCCTGAGAATTCTCACCAAGACAATTACTTATCCTGTGGGACAATCTGTAAGTAACATCACAAATGGTCAAATACTTTACTTCTTTAAGAATATTTTAAACACTTGACACATTAAAAACTATTTGATGTGGGTTTCAACTCAAATAGTAAATTTATCACTTCTGCCTTCATAATTTTCCAAGCTTTTCAATTAAAATGGCACATATGCAATATCTTAAGTGTATTTAAAAAAAAAGTGTGAAATTTTTTATTATAGGGCTATTGAAAATTAGGATGTATTGCTAAAGAAGATTTATGAAAATGTTTTATACGTAGAAAATTTAAGAGTAAATATTTATCCGTCTGGAATCATGTGATTATGATCTAATTAGAGCACAAGCAAAAGTAATACAAAGTATCTAGCTATCTTACTCCTTGTTATTGTTGTTGCTTCGTGTTGTTGAGTCAGTTCCGACTCTTAGTAACCCTGTATGGGGTTTCCACGGAGTGGCTGGTGGGTTTGAACTGCCAACCTTGTAGTTAGCAGTCCTGTGCTGATCCTACAGTACCATATCAGAACTCCATCTTACTCCCAGCAGTTCATAAAACCAAAAACCAAGTTAGTTGCTGTAAAGTCCATTCTGACTCATAGAGATACTACAGAACACAGTCCAACTGCCTCCACAGGGTTTCCAAAGCTGTCAATCTTTACCAAAGCAGACTGCCATATCTCTCCCTTGAAGCAGCTGTAGTTTGAACTACCAACCTTCTGGTTAGGAGCTGAGCGCTTCGCCACTGTGCTACCGGTGCTCCTTAGCAATTCCGAGTAATAAGCTTTTCAAATTTTCTCCTTTACTTTTACCCAAAGTTCTGCCATTGTTTATAATTTTCATTTCCATGTAATTTATTTATTAATTATTCTTGACAATATTTGACTTTCTTTTTTTTTTTACAAATTGTACATCATGTTGTTGTTGCTAAGTGCCATCAAGTAAGTTCTAAGTCACAAAAACTCTGTACAGGGTTTCCCAGGATCAGCTGGTGGGTGTGAACCAGAAACCTTGTGGTTTAAACCAACTTTGCAGGTCACTGCTTATCCTACAGCGTTACACCAGAACTCCCTTTACACAATGAAGTTTAAATATCACCTGGGACCAATGTTCTACACTGTTCTATAAAATCAAAATAGTCCAACATTAAAAAAAAAAAAAAAAAAAAGAAGCAGCATTTTAAATGTAGCACCCATTTTCAATCTGACATTCTCTGAATTCAAAAAAGAATGCCTGGGTTAGCTTTTGGAATGTAGGTAGTATAGAGATGGGGAAAAATAGATAAAATGAAATCTCAGATGTTTAAGTTAACAACGTCATCAGGAAAGAAAGTCTATGACAGTGTGCTCAAACACTGGTGTGCATCAGATAAACTGTTAAAAATTCAGTTACCTGGTACCATTCAATACCGTCTAAATTAGAATCGCTGAGTGTGACCCCGGTGTGGTGCTGTAGGATAAGCACTGGACTGTTAAGTACAAAGTTGGTTGTCCAAACCCCCCAGCTAGTCCTTGGGAACAATCCGCAGGGTCGCTATGAGCCAGAACTGACTTGACGAGACTTAACAATAACAAACCCATGTACATGTGTATATCTGTGTTCCACAGTATATGTGTTTTTACCTTTACAGGTTTCACAGAGGCATTCAAATGCAATCACTATGTTCATATGGAGTCCTGGAGTTGCACTATAGGATAAGCACTGGACTGTTAACTGCAAGGCCAGTGGTTCAAACATACCAGTTTTTCCTTGCAAACCCTCTGAAGGGTTGCTTTGAGTCAGAACCAACTCAACAGCACTTAACAATGTCTACAATATATCCACATACCAATGGACATAAATAAATGTTACATGCCTTGGAACTACTTCCAACCCACAGCGACAGTGTATAGGGTTTCTGAAGAGAAGCTGGTAGGTTTGAACTGCTGATCTGGTGGTTAGCAGTCTAGTGCTTATACTATAGTGCCATAACAGGACTTCAACATAAGGAAACTGTGGTTATTAAAAGTACCAACTATAAAAAATGCAAGAAGAACACAGGAGGAGAAATGGATAAAATAATATAGGCTTGACAGGCAAACTTACCTTCATCTTTGTTCCTAGAAATTTTCTATAATAATAAAAGTAAATACTAAAGAAAATGTGTCTATCACTGACCATAACACAATAATTAGGCTTTACTGATACAGACGACCTAGTTAAAGGGGAACCTTACAATCTCAACAGGAGCAATGCTTCGCACCAGTTGCTGGAGGAGTGTAGCTTCGCAGTAAGGAAATTTTCTGATACTTTCTCTAATGATCTTTTCTTGATATGCAGGAAAGCCATCAGTAGCTCGGCCTTTTAATAAGCTGAAAGATAAATACATGTATATATGTATGTTTTAACTCATTGGAGCTTAATCACTAAGTATTCCCTCCCAATTAAACAGAGGAAATTTCAGCAATTCTTCTTTGTTACCTGAGATTTTCATTCTTTTCAAATCATGACCACAAACACAATTCAAAGAAACTGATGGTTTACTTCTATTTCAGGCTAGGCCTTATCAGGTTTAGGGACCCTTTGCTAGAAAATACTCAACACTGTTATCCAATTACTTAGTTACCTAGTGCAATATCAGCTATTTGTATAAAGAATGAAAATTCTCACCAAGTCACCTGGTCCTTACTTCCCCCTTTTCTCAGAAAAAAAAGAAAAAAATTTGGGATAATTTGATTCTGGGTAGTTAGAGAACAAGGACAACACAATAGCTTCCCAAGGTACTATATAGCAGGGATACATTATGTGCCTTTGTGAATCCAAGGCAGCAAATTGTGGCATAATAGAACTATTCTCAAATGTGGACTTTTCCTGCCCGTTAGCTGTATAATCTTACATACATTATTTAACCTCTCCAAATCTCATCTGTAAATTAAGACTAATAATCCTTATAACTCACAGCATTATCATGGAATGTTTGTTTTTATTGTTATGTGCCATAGAGTTGGTTTCAACTCATAGCGACCATATGCACAAAAGAACGAAACACTGTTCGGTCCTGTGCCATTCTCACAATTGTTATACCTCAGACCATTACTGCTGCCATTGTGCCAGTCTATCTCCCTGGGGGTCTTTCTCTTTTCCACCGACTCTTCACCTTACAAAGCACAATGTCCTTCTCTAGGGATAGGCCTCTCCTGGCAACATGTCCAAAGTATGAGGCAGCATTCTGGCTGTAATTAAACATAGACTTGTTTGTTCTTCTGGTAGTCTATGGTACCCTCAACACTCTTCTCTGACACTGTAACTCAAACACATCAATTCTTCTACAGGCTTCCTTCTAAATTCACTGTCCAGCTTTTGCATGCATATGAGGTTATTGAAAATACCATGGCTTGGGTCCAGTGCACCTTAGTCCTCAAACTGACATTTTTGCTCTTCAACACTTTGAAAAGGTCTTGTGCAGCAGTCATTTGCCTAATGCAATACATTGTTTGATTTCTTGACTGCTGCCTTCATGAGTGTTAATAGTGGATCCAAGCAAAATGAAGTCTTTGACAACTTCAATCTTTTCTCCATTTATCATGATGTTATTTTCTTGTTCCATTTGTAAGGATTTTTGTTTTCTTTACATTGAGGTGAAACCCACATTGAAGGCTGTGATCTTTGATCTTCATCAGTAAGTAGTTTAAGTCCTCTTCACATACAACAAGCAAGGTGTTGTCATCTGCATATCACAGGTTGCTAATGACTCTTCTTCCAATCTTGATGCCACTTCTTCTTCATATAATCAAGCTTCTCAGATTGTTTTCTCAGCATACAGATAGAATAAATATGTTTAAAAGATACAAACCTGACACACACTTTTCCTTAATTTAAACCATTCAGTTTCAAACGAAGAATCAAAGTATAAAACAAATATAAAAACATGAGCATAAAATATAAACATAATTTCTCACAGTTTAAATCTGATTCCCAACAATAACATACACAATGACAATACAACAAATAATAATTGCAGTATCACAAATTGAATTGTGTTTCTCCCCCACCCCTCCAAATGTGTCAACTTGGGTGGGTTATGTAGCAATTATGTACTGATGTAATGTTAGGTGATGATTCTCCATGATGTGGCCATGTGACAAACAATAAAAAGATTAAGGATAAGCTACAATATCTTTAACTCCATCATAACTCTGAACCAGTGTAAGGGAGTTTTCGAGGGTTATGGCCTACCATACCTTTTGTCTTACAAGACATAAAAGAAGAGAGACATGAACAGAGAAAATACAGCTGGAGGTGGAGTGTGTCCTTTGGACCTGGGGCTACTGCTCTGTGAAGCTTTTAGATTCAGGAAATTATTGATGTCAAGACACATAAAGGTCTCCAAGGAATGATGGGACTATCTATATATGCTGAGTGGAATTTGCACTTCTCTGAATTTGGACTTTGAGCCTCCTAAACCATGAAAGAGTAAATTTCTGTCTGCTAAAGCCATCCTTTTGTGGTATTTCTATTATAGCAGCGTTAAAAAAGGCATGCTGTTAAAATGCTTAATTTTTAAATCTACAAAAACCTTCATATAAAACATTATTCACTTCAGCATACTTTGTACATGACACAGTAAAAACATTACCTTTTGATCAGTGTGTCTAGTTTATTTTCTCCATCTTTTAAGAAGTTAATGCATTTCTGAAAGATACAGCTAATGTAGTGCATTTTCATAGCCAATACTTCATTCATGTCTCTCTGCTTCATACATTTCTCACAAATCAAATCCATCACCTTGTAGCATTTATTCAAGGCTGCTTCTTCTGCCAGTAGAGGATTCTCATTTACAAGCATCACAATCTAGAAGAAATTCCAGTGAGCTTAGAAATGTCATGAAAGAATTTTTCATGTACAAAATATGTAATCCATTTTTTGGTTCATTCCAGGGTATTGATGCATATAGTCATCTATTTACTATGGTAACTCAAATTGGAAATGAAAAAATATATTGCTACTGTTCTAAGCTATAAAAATTAACACAGAGGGTTCTACCATCTTGGATTTCTTTAACTGGTTCCATCAACATTACAGGGCAATCTGCAAGGGTATTAGCATACCACTCACACATGGTTTTACTAACTCTGTCAAAAGCAGATTTCCTAAAGATACACAGAATGCATTTGTACACATTATCTTCAATATCTGGAATCAAATCATGGACTGATTACTACTTTTTTAGTAAATAATACTTAGCTGTAGAATTTCATGTTTGGAAGAACTATGATTCTCATAGTTATAGAGAAATGAGACTTTTACAGAAAGAACTTCCAAAATGTGATTCACTTTCGAATTAGCTACATTTCTCTGTGAAAATCATCCTAAGGATGTTTCCAGTCATCTATGATAACAAGAATAGATCAAAGTGGAAACCATAAACAACTTTAAAGGGACTTTTAGGTGTTAAATTTTATACATTAGAAATCCTACAATTTCCCACCCAGGCACAGATTAAGTTCAAATACAATATAACACAGAGTATTTTTTATTGCCTTTATTCTAGGGAATGTCACTTGAAGTCATCTACATGCAATTTGCCACCCAGGTACAGATTAAGTTCAAATACAATATAACACAGAGTATTTTTTATTGCCATTATTCTAGGGAATGTCACTTGAAGTCATCTACATGGGACAGCCATAAAAATTCAGTGTTATAACAGTAATGTAATCATGTTTGTACCATGTGCCTGACAACATGCCTAGATCATGTTATATGTTATATGTTACTTAACCAACATAAATAATAAGAGCAGATTTTATTAATTTGATTCTTCTCATTTGTTGCTGTTGTTAAGTGTCGTCAAGTCAGTTCTGACTCATAGCAACTCTGTATTTATCATTTTAAGTAAAATCCCATGTCTTGGATCTTATTTAGGAGTCCTGGTGTGGCACTGTGGGTTAATGCACCAGACTGCAAAGCTGTTTGACTGCAAGGTCGACAGTTCAAGCTCACCAACTGCTCCTCGGAAACCCGATACAGGGTTGCTATGGGTTGGAACCGACTCAACGGCACTTCACAGCACAACAAGAAAGATCTTATTTTTATATTTAACAAGCATTTGTTTTTGTGAAATTAATAGAATTTTCATTTGTTTTTCATACTACTACATTCATATAGAGTAGTAGTAGCTCTGGTAACGTAGTGGTTACGAATCAGGCTGCGAACCACAAGGTCAGCAGTTTGAAACTACCAGCTGTTCCACGGGAGAAAGATGAGACTTTCTGCTCCCGTAAAGATTTACAGCCTCAGAAACGCTATACAGGGTCGCTATGGGTCAGAACTGACTGTGTTATATAACCACATTCATATATAGCCTAATATTTTGTTTACAATCTAATACATAATATTATTAGACTTGAAGTAAGTATAATCTTTATTGATGTGTTTTCTGAGAACTCCCCCAACCATAACATATATTAAAAAATCAACCTGTGGCAGGCACTAAAGAAAAAACTCATTAATTCTGCTTTATACTACCACTGTAAACCTCAATCATTTGAAGGTTAAGACTTTTACATATGGTATCTATAATCAAAGCTTAAGATCTTAAACTTCAAAAATAGGAGTAATTTTTACAGACAGAACTCAGAGTAATGACCATTTCTGTATTTACAGAAACTTGTTGTTATTGTGAAGTGCCAGAGAGTCAGTTCTGATCCATAGCGACCCTGTATAGGGTTTCCAAGGAGCAGCTGGTGAGCTTGAACCACCAACCTTGCAGCTCAAATGGCTTTGCAGTCTGGCGCATTAACCCACAGTGCCACACCAGGACTCCTTACAGAGACTAGACTTTACTTATTTGTAATATACAGTGATAGGCACAAAGAAAAATAATTAATAACCATAGTTCTACAATGAGCTTCTTCAAGCATTTACTTAGTTGTACACAAAGAATATATGCATTACTGGTTTTCATTTAATCTCTATAGCATTACAAAGTAATAGATTATGATTGGAATCCTTATTAAGAATTCTTATTGTCATAAAAACCAGATGTATCTTATCTCCCAAAGGACTGCTGCCTTTGAATGAATTTATACAGTGTCATTCTGAATTCTTTACATTTTTAAAATCCATTTTACTTTTCTTTTAAATTGCTAACTCTGCAATGATAGGTTTGGAAATTGTGATAATAATCAAAAGCAGTTTCACTGGGTACACCTGCCTCCTTTTCACTTACAGACCCTGCTCATCTCTGTTACCATATTTTTCTCTGATTTTGTTTTTCTCCTTCATATTCATTGTACTGAGCACGATTCCCCAAGTCCCTTTTGAAAACAAACACATCCTTATTGCCATAGCAGCCACTTAACCTGGATGCCAAAGTCGCTATGCTAGGTGTTCTGCAATGAAAAGGTAAGTTTTGTATCTGGAATGACATCTGTGTTTATTTAAAATGTCTTTATAGAGCTGCTGTTAGTTGCATTTTTGTAATACTTTACTTGAAGAACCATGCTAGTCTGAAAAGGTGTTACACAGTGACAATGCATCACCACAAAAGAAATAGGCAGCTTGTATCCAAAGTCTAAAAAAGAAGGTTTTCAAGTAAATAGATTATTTATACCTACAAAAAGGAAGCGATCTTGTTTGAAGGAAGGTGCCATAGTTATAAAACAGTCTCTTTTATATGATTGTTGCTGTTAAATAATGTCAAGTCAGTTCTGATTCATAGCGACCCTGTCTAGGGTTTCCAAGGAGTGGCTGATAGGTTTGAACCGCTGACCATGCAGTTCAAACTGACCTTGCAGTACAGTGCATTATCCTGCAGCACCACACAAGGACTCCTTTATAAGACTGTTGTTGTTGTTATTGTTAAGTGACAGTGAGTCTGTTCCGACTCATAGTGACCCAATATAAGGTTTCCAAGGAGCAGCTGATGTATTTGAACTGCCAACCTTGTGGTTCCCAGTCCAGTGCTGATCCTTCAGCACCACACCAGGAGTCCTTTATGAGGTTCTAGTTGTTGTTGTTAAGTGCTGTCGAGTCAGTTCTGACCCATAGTGACCCTGTATAGGGTTTCCAAGGAGTAGCTGGTGAGCTTGAACCACTAACCTTGTGGTTCAAACCGACTTTGTAGTCCAGCACATTAGCTCACCGAGCCACACCAGTACCCTAAAACAATTCTATAGCCTGTTCCAGATTGTTCACATTTTGAATTTTCTGTCTGTAACTTACTCCAACTGCATGTCCAGAATCTAATGTATTCAAAACATATAACTGAAGGTACAATACTTCTTGGATAATTAATTCTGATAGACTAGGTTCCATGCAAGTATGAGAAATTATTCCATAGACACTTATTACCATCTTAAGGGGTAGAAACTTAGAAACAAAACACAGAATCAGAAAAAACAAGGAACTTCTTCAAAACAATTGGAACCAGAATCATCTTGGTTATGCTCTGGCAGAGGAAGAACAAGGGGCTTTTTGAAAACCACACACATTCTCTATACTAACAAATACTGTGCCCTAAAGTTACCTGTCACCTCACCCAGTCTGCACCATCCTTCAGAGGATGTACCGTGGTGAGAGGGTAGCCGTTACTCATGAGAGTACTCTCTTTCTGCAAATGTGCTCAGAGAAAGAGAGCCAACACATAAGAGGATAAATCATTTTTAAACATTATACAAAGGGGCTTCAAAAGTCCAGTGAATAGTGAATAATTGTTATTAGGACTAACTGTGAGGGTTGGAAATGTAAAGGTAGACGTTTTGTAACAAAAGGAGGAGAGTGACTGGCTTTGCAGTCTAGGAGCAGAGGTCCCTGGGATCATCAAGGGAGAAGAGCAGAGAGCGGGACCTTACCCAGAGAAGCAGTGACACCAGAGATGGAGGCAGAGATGATGCCTTGGAGAGATGGAGCTGCTGGGGACTTTAGACCCAGAGAGGGAGAGGGGCTGTGTGCTGACTTTAGACCCAGAGAGGGGGAGCAGGCTTGCAGGGTATACTCCTTGGTTGGTTGATGATGCAAGGAGGGGATTGCAACCAAGACAATGAAACGATATATGATAGGATGGATGCAAAGTAATGTTCTCCCATGTAAGCTATCATATAATTTACAATAAAACATTTAAAAAAAGTTCATTGAAAAATGGAATTAAAACATAATAAATTTTTCCCACAAACTTGTTGAAACCTCCTCTGTTTATAGTAACTAGACCTTATTTAAGTCCCATATAACCTACACTAGGACCATAAATGGAATCCTAGTGTGGTGCTGTAAAATAAGCCCTGGGCTGCTAACTACAAAGTCAGTGGTTCAAAACCCACCAGCAGCTATTCAGAAACCCTATATAAAGTTGTTATGAGTTGGAACCTACTTGAAGGCACATAACAACAGGAACACAAATATATGATTCACAACTAGCATACAATGTTTTTGTTCTCTTGAGAACCACAAGCACACAGTGTCTCTTGCCATTTTTTCAGAATGTTAAGAAAAATAATTGAGTTCTGAAAAATAAAAACAGCATATCTTACTTTTGTGTCTTGTGGGAAAGGTGTTGGCTGGTTTTATTATCTCTCTTGAAGGTTCAGAAAATAATTTAGGCACAAGGCCAAAAGACAGGCATTGTTTGTTTGTTACTTGAGCCTCAAAGATTGCATACACAGGAAGCATCAATAAAGCACTAAGAATGAATACATTTTGGAGCTACCTTCAAGTGAGAGCTAATCTTTAAAAATATTACTGATGACAACTGCCCACTTATTGTGATAGTGCTCCATATAGCCCAGAGATGATTCTTTTTATAGACTTCTGAGAAAAATCTGTTATATTATTGCTGTTTGCTGTTAAGTGCCAGCAAGTCAGTTCCACTGATAGCAACCCTGTAGTGTGTCTGAGGAATGGCTGGAGGGTTTGAACCACAAACCCTGCAGTTTGCAGTCCAATGCTAATTAGTCCCTTGTATTAAGGAAAAGTCTAAACTTTTGACTCAACTTATTAACAGTCTTGCTCACCAAATTAATAATTAATTATTATCAATCTGTAGGCCATGAATGAACAACTATGATAGACACTGGCATTGAAAAACACAGCACACAAATTCCTGTAGTGACTCATTGAAGAAATGATACTCATTTTGATTGATAGTTTTAAGAATTACTAAATATATACAAGGAATAGTCAAAAAGTATTGCTACTAGGGTCCAGGTCATACATGTAAAGATTTATTGCAAACAAAACATGTCTCAACATGTCTATGCAATCAGTGCATGGCTGCACTTGTCTTAGTTTCATGAGTGTGCCTTCAAAACAAAATAAAATCCAATCAAAACAGTAGTTTCTGAGGGACTCTGCTGGACCAGTTCAATTTAAAGCAGAGGGGTCAGCTCAGAGGGTTATGGCAACTGTTTATTGTCGGGATTCCCAAGAGATAATCTTGATTGATTTTCTTGAAGGACACAGGACAACCACTGGAGCCTATTAGGAAAAAGTTTCAAGAAAATAGAAACCTGCATTGGTGATAAAAAGGCCAGAAAAGTTACTCTGAGGAGTTTTTTCCATCGTGACAATGCAGCTGCTCCTTCTTTGAGGGTGACAAGGGAATCTCATTGAGAACCTCATTGGGAAATCTTAGCCTGTCCACCCTATAGCCCTGAGCTTGCCCTATCAGACTTCTTTCTGTTCCTAAAATTCAAAAAACATTCAAAATGAAAATGATTTGAATCTCTTGAGGGTACCCAAACTGCCATTTTCATATGATGTAAATGAAAGAACGCAGAATTCTTTGAAGAAGCATTAGAAATGGAAATACCTTCAGAAGCGTATAGACCTAGCTGGAGAATATGTTGAAAAAACAACATATTCACATTTTGATATTTTTGTTTACTAAAGGTTTTTATGAATTTTAGCAATACTTTTCTGTTTTATTCATATGTATATACACACAAACATGCACACACACACACACATACAGTGAAACCTGTGAAAATCAGAGCCTTGTAAGGTGGAAACCTGAAACCTTATACAAGAAGGAAAATTCATATAATTTCAAACAAAACGAGCAAAGAAAAGCGGTAAAACTGTACCCTGTCAAAGATGGAAAACGTGAGGCTTAAAACTCAAAGCAATCCTGTTGAGTTCTGGCTTTCACAGTTTTCACTGTATATGTGTGTGTGTGTACTGCTGTTGTTATGTACTGTCAAATCGGTTCCAACTCACAGTGACCCTGTATAGGGTTTCCGAGGAACAGCTGGTGGGTGTGAACTGCTGACCTTGTGGTTCGCAGTCCAGTACTTATCCTACAGAGCCACACCAGGATATATATATATATGTGTGTGTGTGTGTGTGTGTGTGTGTGTGTACATATACATATATACATATGTATATGTGTGTGTGTGTGTGTATATATATATATATATATATATAAGGTATATATATATATATATAAAAGTATGTATATATAGACACACATACATATACGGAATCCTGGTGCTGTTGGTTAATGGTCTAGACTGCAAAGTCAGCTTGAATCGGGAGGCCTACAGTTCAAGTTCACCAGCTGCTCCTCGGAAACCCTATATAGGATCAGTATGGGTTGGAACCCACTCTACGGCACTTAACAACAACAATACACACACACAAATATGTTGTTAAAGTGTCGCCCCTGTAGGGTTTCTGAGGAGTGGCTCATAGATTTGAACCACCAACTCTGTGGTTCAAACTGATATTGTGGTCTAGTGTTTTATCCTATAGCACACTGTTGTTATTGTGCCTGGAGTAGTGACCCTGTACAGGGTCTCCGAGGCTGTAAATCTTTACGGGAGCAGAAAGCCTCATCTTCCTCCCGCGGAACAGGTGGTAGTTTTGAACTGCTGACCCTGAGGTTAGCAGCCCGATTACTCTGGTAACGTAGTGGTTACGAATCGGGCTGCGAACCTTAAGGCCAGCAGTTGGAAACTACCAGCCGCTCCGCGGGAGAACGATGAGGCGTTCTGCTCCCGTAAAGATTTACAGCCTCGGAAACCCTGTACAGGGTCGCTATGGGTCGTAACCGACTCGACAGCACTTAGCAACAACAACATTCTACCAGAGCTCCAATAGCACACTAGGACTCTAAATATAGATAGATAGATACATAGATAGATACATAGATAGATAGGTGTATGTATATGTGTGTGTTTAAACATACACACATATCTCAAAGCAAACCAGTTGCCATCAAGTCAATTCTGACTTATAATGATCCATGTGTTGCAGAGTAGAAATGTGTTACATAGGCTATCATTTTGGAAGATCACCAGGTCTGTGTTCTGAGGATGGATTCCAACAGCTAACCTTCTGATGAGAAGTTGCCCACGTAACTGTACCACTCAGGGACTGCTGTCCCTCTGTGTATGTATGTACATCTCTCTCTTCTCTTGTCAATTACTGTGGAGTCAACTCTGGCTCATGACAACCCCATATATGCAGAGCAGAAATGTATTCTACAGGGTTTTCTTTCTGTTTTTGTTATTTTGAGGGGGGAGGTTAAGGTAGGATTTTTATCATTCATTGTTTTTAAACATTTTATTATGGTTTGGGTGAAAATTTACAAAGTACATTAGTTTCCCATTCAACAATTTATATACATTGTTTCATGGCATTCATTGCAATCCCTATTTAACAGTGTTCTTCCCACTTCCTGCATGCTCCCCCATTTCCATTCATCCTTCTTTCCTGCCCTTTCCTGCCTCTGAGTTTTGGGCAATGCTGCTCTTTAGGTATATGATCGAATGTTATGAGGAGCACGTTCCTCTTGGGTGTGATTTTTCAATTTGTAGGTATGTCTATGGAGTACTAGTGTGACTCTGTAGGATAAATACTGGACAGCTAATTACAAGGTTGGTGGTTCAAACCCAACAGCTGCTCCACAGAAACCCTATGTAGGATCGCCATGAACTGAAACCAACTCGGTGGCACTTAAAAACAACAAGACCTGTCTATTGTTTGACAGAAAGGTGATCCTGGGAGTGGGTTCAGTTCCAGATATGAAGGCTATCTAAGGACCAACAGTTTCTATTGGACCAGTCAGTCTGGTCTTTTTTATGATTTTGAATTTTGTTCTATCTTTTGTCCTACTCTGTCCAGGACCTTCTACTGGGATTCTGTTCAGAGCAGTCAGTATTGGTACTGGGCACCTTCTGGTTCTTCAGGTCTTAGGCTAATGGAGGCTACAGTTCATGTGGTCCATTACTTCTTTGGACTGTTTCCCTGAATCTTTGATTTTTTTTTCATTCTTTTTTACAGATGTGCAGAGCAAAGGATTTTCAAGGTCTTTCAGAAGCAGATCACCAGGCCTGTGTTCCAAGGAATCCCTGGGAGGGTTTGAATCACAAATATTCAGCTAGTAGTCGAGTGCATAACCATATGCATCACCCAGAACTGACTCTCCCTCTCTATATATATACACATATGTGTGTGTGTGTGTATATATAAATATATGGAGCTCTGGTAGCGTAGTGGTTACGCATCGGGCTGCAAACCTTAAGGCCAGCAGTTCGAAACTACCAGCTGCTCCGCGGGAGAAAGATGAGGCGTTCTGCTCATATGTATTACACATAAATACTTACATATCTATACATACAGACACACACACACACACACATATATATATATGGAGTCCTGGTGTGGTGCTATAGGAGAAGCACAGCACTTTTAGCTGCAGGATTCAAATCCCTAGCTGCTTCTCAGAAACCCTATACAAGGTCACTATGATGTGTGTGTGTGTGTGTGTGTGTGTGTGTGTGTATATATATATATATATATATATATATATACACACTGTGTATAAAATCTGAAGAAAATAGTTGCAGTAATTCAGCATGGCTCTTCATGTTTCTCCAGTGAAAACATCTGAACTTATGTGTTGTTCTACAAAGTTTGAACATCTATTAAACGTGGACTAATTACTGGAGGAAGATTGTTACTGAAAGGCATCCAATAGCCACTTAGATAAAAATGTGCTCACAATTGCATTTCAGAACATTTCATGAGTCATTGCTGCAGTAGACAGACTCTGTTGGTATCCCCCTCAGATCCTCTTGCCAACCCAATGCACGAACCCCCGGCCACTAGGAATATCAGCTGCTAAGGACCTGGAACTTCCTCCTTCTCGAGAGAATTGCTGTTGTACAAAGGGAGCCACCTCCTTGACACTGTCTGGGAGGCTGTCCTTTTCCTCTGGGACAGCCCGCAGTCGAGCTATTCATGCTTCAGAGCATCCTGTAGGATGAGGTGGGAGACGGGCTTCCACTGAACATACCTGCCTAGATTTATCTCCTGCTCTATTCTATTTCTTCCTCTTGTTTCCCTGTTTCGACTGGGAGCATTCCTTTAATAAATCAAATGAACATGCCAGTCTATCATAACCAGTACACCTACAAACTCAATGCTAAGACAATTAAGATCCTACATAATAAGAGCTATTGAAAACTCTGAATCAGTACCTTGACAGGGTGAAGGTTCGTGGTTGTGATAATTTTGTGCAGTGGGCCTGCCAACTTTGGGGGTAGCTTTGGCTCCTTATCCAGTCCCTGGGGTTTAGTGTAGTAATCCAATCTCTCTCGAGGAAAGAAATTATTGATTATAGTCACACAGTCATGTTGACCTTTTAATGGAAAAAATAGAAAAACTTGTTACTTTATTATAAAAATATATGACATTTTATAGATTTTTATTCAATTCTTCTATTTTTTTGTGAGGTAAACAAATATAAATAACATTATTTTTTTGAAAAAGTAGAATAGATGACAAGGGGTAGAGTATTTTAGAACACATCTGTGAGCATGCCTTATAAAGCAAAGAAATAATTCCATTTTAAAGATTCAGAACTCACCATACACATGGATAGTATGTGGATTTAAAAAAGCAATGTTTCATTTAAAATTGACTTGATTCAAACATTTTACAAAAGTTACTATGACTTAAATGTCTCGTCTTCCACTCTTATACAAAGTATGGTCACAATTCCCTAATCATATATGTCTTTATGCATAATTTAGTCCATTATAAAGGTTGACCTTTTTAAATTGTTGAAGAGCAAAGATGTCAGCTTAAGGACTAAGGTACGCCTGACCCAAGCCATGGTATTTTCAATAACCTCATATGCATGTGAAAGCTGGACATGAATAAGGAAGACTGTAGAATAATTAATACTTTTGAGTTATGGTATTGGAGGAGAATATTGAAAGTGCCATGGGATCCCAAAAGAACCAACAGATCTGTGTTGGAAGACGTGCAGCCAGAGTGCTCTTTGGAGGCCAGGATGGCTAAACTTCGTCTCCCATACTTTGGACGTATTGTCAGGATGGACTAGTCACTGGAAAAGGATATCATGTTTGGTAAGGTGGAGGGTCAGAGAAAAAGAGGAGGACCCCCAGCAAGATGGATTGACCAAGTGGCAGCATCAATGGGCTCAAGTGTGGCAACAATTGTTGAGGTTGGCCCAGGACTGGGCAGTGTTTTGTTCTGTTGTGCATAGGGTCGCTATGAGTTGGTACTGACTCCCATGGCACCTAACAACAACAACAAAAGGTTGATTATTGTTATTGTTAAGCTAATTCCTCCCACATCCCTGAGTTTGAGAAAAGCTTGGCCTCTATGAAATGAATTAAAGAAACTTTTGTTGTCATAAACTTGCAATCCACATAATGGCTTCTCATAAACCCCTACACCACTTCTTTTAACCATCTCTAGAATTGGAATCAGTTCTATGAAAGCGAAATCTTCCCTGGAGAAAGTTGATAGCCTGAATGTATGTTACTGTTGCTTCCCCCACCCCGACATCCTCTTCACTACCTCTCTGAAGCAAAGAAGTAGCCACCGTTGATAAGTAAGCAGAACTTGAAGGGTACACTGGAGTTCGAAGGCTTTTCTGACTCTCACGAGGAGAAACGTCCTCATTCTGTTCACCTGACAAGAACTGTGGAACCAGCCGTAGAAAGTCCGGGAGAGAAGGCACAGATGTCGTGGTTTCCGGAGAGTGGTTTGCCCTAGGCAAGCTGAGTGTCCGCCACCCATTTGTTCATGGCCCTAGGAATGTTTGCTTTGTCTTACTGAAGAGATGACCTACAGTGGGATTGCACAGTGGGCCAGACAGATGCTGGTACTTGAGACTGGTACAAAGTTCTGCTTGTCCTTGGAAGTTCCTGGGAGAACTTGGGAAGAAAGCAGCTTCCTCTTGATGCTTCAGCAGAGGACTACTGGTTTCCTGACCCCGAGTCCACAGGTATAGAGACTATGGCAGCTCACACCATTGTTAGTTGGATACTGTTCCACAACCCTATCAGCTTTATCTAACTGCCTAACACATAAGAAGCAACCAAGGAGGCCCAGCAACTTGGAAAACTATGTTGTTGTTGTTGTCAGGTGCCATCGAGTCGGAACCGACTCATAGCGACTCCATGCACAGCAGAACGAAACAATGTTCGATCCTGGGCCAACCTCACTACCGCTGCCACACTTGAGTCCATCAATGATGCCACCTGGCTGATCCATCTCGTTGGGGGTCTTCCTCTTTTTCTCTGACCCTCCACCCTACCCATCATGACATCCTTCTCCAACGATTGTTTCCTCCGGACAATATGTCCAAAGTAGGAGAGACGAAGCTTAGCCATCCTGGCCTCCAAGGAGCACTCTGGCTGCACTTCTTCCAAAACGGATCTATTGGTTCTTTTGGCAGTCCATGGCACTTTCAGTATTCTCCTCCAACACCACAACTCAAAGGCATCAATTCTTCTACGATCCTCCTTATTCACTGTCCAGCTTTCGCATCCATATGAGGCTATTGAAAACACAATGGCCTGGGTCAGGCGCACCCTAGTCCTCAAGCTGACATCTCTGCTCTTCAACATTTTAAAAAGTTCCTGTGCAGCAGATATGCCCAGTGCAATACATCGTCTGATCTCTTGACTGCTACTTCTGCGATTGTTGATAGTTAATCCAAGAAGAATGAAGTCCTTGACAACTTCAATCTTTTCTCCATTGATAAGAATGTTGTTTATTGGTCCAGTGGTGAGGATTTTTGTTTTCTTGACATTGAGATGCAATCCATATCGAAGGCTGTGCTCTTTAATCTTCATAAGTAAATGTTTCAAGTCCTCTTCACTTTCAGCGATCAAGGTTGTATCATCTGCATATCGCAGGTTGTTAATGAGTCTTCCTCCAATCCTGATGCTACGTTTTTCTTCATAGAACCCAGCTTCTCGTATTATTTGCTCAGCATACAGGTTGAATAAGTATGGTGAAAGAATACAACCCTGTCTCACACCTTTCCCAATTTTAAAACATTCAGTGTTCCCATGTTCTGTTCGAACAACTGCTTCTTGGTCTAGGTACAGATTTCTTAGAAGTACAATTAAGTGTTCTGGAATATTCATACTTCTCAATGTTTTCCATAGCTTGTCATGATCCACACAATCGAAAGCCTTTGCGTAGTCAATAAAGCACAGGTAAACATCCTTCTGATATTCTCTGCTTTCAGCCAAGATCCATCGGACATCAGCAATGATATCTCTCGTTCCACGGCCTCTTCTGAATCCAGCTTGAACCTCTGGAAGTTCTCTGTCAATGTATGATTGCAGCCGTTTCTGTATTACCTTTAGCAAAACTTTGCTCGCTTGAGATATCAAAGAGATTGCCCGATGATTTCCGCATTCCGTTGGGTCACCTCTCTTTGGAATGGGCACAAACATTGATCTCTTCCAATCAGTCGGCCAGACTGGAAAACTATGCAATGCTTCAAATGGCTTCTTCAGTGGGAAGCCTACAGACAGCTTTAACCAGATAAGACAGGAACAAGCAAAAAGGAAAAATAACAAAAACAAAACAAAACAAAAAACCATGCGCAAAGGATTCCAATTCATAGTGACCCTATAAAAAGGAAAGAGTAGAACTGTCCCATGGGGTTTTCATGGCTGTAAATCATTTATGAAAGAAGATATCTTTCTCCCATGGAGTGTCGGGTGGATCCAAACCAATAAACTTTTAATAATCAGTGTAGTGTTTTAGCACTGTGCCATCAGGGTTCCTTACAACAATAACAACAAATAAGAATATTTAAATTAATCATAATCAATTAGAGCACATAAACTGGAAGTCTAGAACTACAGAGGGATTCAAATTTTTTAAATGGGCAAACAATAAGGTAATCTTGATTACTAATGAAAATGAATAGAAATGTAGAAAATGAGATGGATGAAATACCTCAAATCAGAAAAATTCAAAAACAAAAATCATTATAGATATAGAAGACATAAAAGAGCTGAAGGACAGATGCAAACAATGTTATAGTGAAAACTAGAAATTGTAGAAGAAAAAAAGAATGGATGGAGAAGTAATCATTATTGCAATTATTAGATTTGAGGCTTCCATATTAAAAGAGCTGAGTCCAAGACAGGATTAGAGGGAAAGCATCTAGACACACAAAACTGGAGATGTTTATAATTACAAAGATAAACTGAAAAATCAAACAGTCTCCAGAATGAAAAATGAAAAGTTTACAAAAGAAAAGTATTCAAGCTCTCATATGCCAACTATGTTTAGACTAAGGATTTATAAGTTTTACATGAAACTAAGAAGTAAGACTTCTGACATACTAGCCAAGCTGTGACTCACTTTTCAGAGAGAAAGATATTTTTGGTCATGAGCAGTTTTAAAGAATATACCACCTACATAAGCCATCTGAGAAAAGTTTATAACCAAAAGTTTAATGAGAACAGAGACCTCAAGATATAAAGCAATTTGGATTTACATTAAAATTAAATATAGATGTGTTCTATGCCTCACCAATTTCATTTCTGGGACTTCGTTGTATAGAAGTTAAAGCATTAATGCAGTGATACAGTAAGAATGGCTACATTATTTGTAGTGCAATTGTTCAAACTGTAAAATCCACTGAAAGGGGAAAGCAGAGAGGATTGTGCTACAATTGTATCATGGAATATTATGCATAATATTAAGGTGACCCAAGTTATTCATAGCTACTAAGATGGAATTCTGCGGCATACCGCTAAGTGAAGAAAACAAATTACAAGGAAACGAGCAATAATGTGTAAAGGACAGCATTCTTCTGCATATGTATGCATATGTACATATACTGATTAGTTTGTAAGGAACAAAAGGGGAGAACACATTTGTTTTGTTTGTTTTATTAAAGACTACAAGCAAAATGGGAGTGTGGTGGCTCTGTAAGCTAAGCATTAGACTGCCAACCACAAGGACCACAGTTTGAGCCCATCAGCCACTCTGAGGCAGAAAGATGAGCCCTTCTGTATCAGCAAAGATTTACAACCTCGGAAACCCTAAGCAAGGTTGCTATAGTCAAAACCGACTAGATGGTACTTAACAACATCAAAAAAGGATGCAATGTAATCTATGAAATTATTTTAAATAAATGAAAATGGAATGAGAACATTACTTGGATTTTTAGGATGGGATTATGGACAACTCAATTCCTCCCTTAGATTAAAAAAAAAATTAAAAAATGGTAGCAATATTGATAAAAAGAAAAGGATATTTTCCATTGTTGAAAGAACGGTACCTCTACCACCAACCATGTGATCTTCAGAAAGTTACTTAACTTCTCTGAGTATCGGTCCTCCTTTTTGTTATGCCATGGACAGAAAGAACATCAGTAGAGTTAAATAGAACTTTAAAGGTCATTTAATTCCCTATGTTAATGGTTGTTGTTGTTAAATGCCATAGAGTCAGTTCCGACTTATAGTGATCCTCTATAGGGTTTTCTAGGAGCACATCGTGCCTTTGAACTGCTGACCCTGTGGCTCACAGTCCAGGCTGATCTTACACAAAGATCAGAAAACTGAGGCCCATGGAGTTGAAGGGACTTGGCCAAAATCCCATTTATAATTAGCAGAAGATACTGCTCTTTTCTGCCTAAACTGAGTACCCTCAGAATTGGCTTCGAGGTAAGTTGGAGGGCAACCATGGGTCCCAAACTGTGGAAGACAACCTTTCTCTGAAGCTAACACAGCAAGGCCATATCCTTCTCAAACTAGCCTAAAATTGCTCCCATAAAGATTTGCATTCTTGGAAACCCTATGCAGGGTCACTAGGAGTCGGAACCGATTCCCATGGTACTTAACAACAAAAACATAAGTGTATTTGCTCTTCTACAACTGTCAGATGACTCACTGAATGGCTCTTTTAATAAATGATATCTAGCATTAGCAGGTCTAAGATAATTCAAGAATACAATTTAGAATAATGTATTGTTACCATCCTCCATACTTGACTTACTCTCACTTGGATCTTAATTGACATGTAATTTTTCTCAAAACAGTCTTGGAATGGGATAGAAGGTTCTTTTCTTCTAAGTATTTCTATGAAGTACTGGCATGGCATTGAAGGATAATTCAGTGGACCACAAGGTCAGTTTGAACTGTAAAGTCAGCAGTTCAAACCCACCAGCCACTCCTCGGAAGCCTATATAGGGTCGCTATGAGTCGGAACTGACTTGATGGCACTTAACAACAACAACGTGGATTTCTAAGGAAACATTAAATCCTCTCTCGAGTATATGTTTTTCACTGCTATTTATATTAGCCTCTAAGTGCCATGAAGCACAGACAACATCCACCTGTTTACCACTGTAGTCAATGTGCCTTGAGTGGTGTGATACAGGTGGTGAACATTAAGTATTTTAATGAATAATAGGCCTACACAGGGTCACTTATTGGACTCTTAACAAATCAGCTTTTTCTATCAACTCAGTGGAGTCATTATACCAACAACCAAATGTTCATTCACACTTTCCACTAAATCCCTGCATTATGTCACCATTCTAAAACAACATGCACATGAAAAAAACCCACACAAATTGCTCACACAGAAAAAGGCCACTGTGATAAATCAACACAAGAAGCACACAGAGATAATTGCTAATCCTAATTGTAGTTATTAAGTGCCATAGAGTCCATTCCAATTCACATCGAGTTTCCGATGTGTAGGGTTTCCGAGGCTTTAAATCTTTGAGGGAGCAGAAAGCCTCATCTTTCTGCTGTGAACCCTAATTTTCATTTCCTCTGTGGGCTCTTTTTCATGTGCACATTTTTCCAGCTACCATATATCACGTACCAAGTTTTAGTATGACTAGAATTACTGTATGTGCAAAACAAATGTTTGTGGGTGATGATGTTAAAATTTATAACTTCATTTAATCCTTCCAGTAATCATGTAACTATTTACAATAAGGAGTCCCAGTGTGTCGCTGTGGGCTAATGCGTCAGACTGCAAAGTCATTTCAACTGCAAGGTCGGTGGATCAAGCTCACTAGCTGCTCCTTGGAAACCCTATACAGGGTCGTCATGGGTCGGAATTGACTCAAAGGCACTTAACAACAACAAAAACATTTACAATAAGGAAATGGAAGATCAGAATCATTAACTAACTTCTTACTAAGTTGTTGTTTTTAGGTGCCATCGAGTTGGTACTGACTCATAGTGACCTTATGCACAGAACGAAACACTGCCCGATACTGAGCCAACCTCACTATTGTTGCTACACTTGAGCCCATTGATGCTGCCACTTTGCCAAGTCATCTCGCTGGGGGTCTTCCTCTTTTTCTCTGACCCTCTACCTTACCTAACATTATTTCATTCTCCAGTGACTAGTCCCTCCTGACAATATGTCTGAAGTATGAGAGATGAAGTTTGGCCATCCTGACCTCCAAGGAGCACTCTGGCTGCATTTCTTCTAAAATAGATCTATTGCTTCTTTTGTCAGCCCATGGCACTTTCAGTATTCTCCTCCAACACCATAACTCAAAAGCATCAATTCTTCTATGGTCTTCCTTATTCACTGCCCAGCTTTTACATGCATATGAGGCTATTGAAAATACAATGGCTTGGGTCAGGCGCACCTTAGTCCTCAAGCTGACATCTTTGCTCTTCAACACTTTAAAAAGGTCTTGTGCAGCAGATTTGCCTAATGCAATACATCGTTTGGTTTCTTGACTGCTGGTTCCGTGAGTGTTGATAGTTGATCCAGGAAGAATGAAGTCCTTGACAACTTCAATCTTTTCTCCGTGGATAAGAATGTTGTTTATTGGTCCAGTGGTGTGAATTTTTGTTTTCTTTACATTGAGATGCAATCCATACCAAAGGTTGTGCTCTTTGATCTTCATCAGTAAATATTTTAAGTCCTCTTAACTTTCAGCAAGCAAGGTTGTATCATCTGCATATTGCAGGTTGTTAATGAGTCTTCCTCCAATCCTGATGCCACATTTTTCTTCATGTAACCCAGCTTCTCAGATTATTTCCTCAGCATAAAGGTTGAATAAGTATGGTGAAAGAATACAATCATGTCGCACACCTTTCTTAATTTTAAACCATTCAGCTACACAGCCAGAATCCTAGCGCAGACTTGTTGATTCCACAGTCAAAAATGGTAGATTCCTAATGACTCCATATTGGTGGTGGTGGTGGGTATTAAGTGCTGTTGAGTCGGTTCCAACCCATACTGAGCCTGCATAGGGTTAGCGGTGGTGATTATATGCTGTGAAGTTGGTTCCGGTTCATAGCAACTTTGTATAGGGTTTCCAAGGTTGTAATCTTTAAGGAAGCAGAAAGTCTCATCTTTTTCCTGTGGAGAAGTTTGTAGATTCGAACTGTTGTTTTGAGGTTAGAAGTTGAGCTTGTATAACACATTATAAGAGCTCCACATTAGGGTAAAGCAATTCCTTTAATCAGCTAAAATATACTTGTTCAAACCATTTGACTACAACTAAATTGGCCTTATCACCCTTTGTATCTTCACCAAGTGGAAATTCAAAGTAGCTTGCTCATTTTCCCCAAAGTCACTACGTGTTTCATTTCAGGTAGATAAAACCTAGCATTATGATTTAAAAAATAAAAACAGTATTTGCATTCTGAAAAGCAAAGCAGTATTTTTGCACAATTAAAACTTGGAGTATAAACTAATGCAACACTATAATAAAAACTCACCCACAAAGGCTGCCATCTGAGCTGCCGTTCTTCCTACAGAGTTGACAACATCTGTCTCAGCACCAGCCTCCAACATTGCCCAAGTGATGTCTTTATTACCTACAGTCATTATAAGTGTTATTATTAAGGCATGCATAATTCAAACACCTCCTTCTAAATAATCTGCAGTTTTTGTTGTTGTTTTTTTATCTTAAAGTTTCTTCTCTAAAACATGGCTACTGTAAAAAGTGAAATCTTATAGAATCCACACAGAAACTCATTTTATTTGCTGGAAAGTCCATGGGCAATACAAAAATGGTATGAAACTAATTTTTTAAATGGTATAAAATCAAAACAACAAAAATAAGGACAAAACTTCAATCCAAACTCATTGCTGTTCAGTCTGTTCTGACTTATAGTGACCCTATAGGACTCCTGGTGTGGCACTGTAGGATCAGCACTGGACCATGAACCAAAAGGTTGGCAGCTGAAACCCACCAGCTGCTCCTTGGAAACCAGGGTCACTGTGAGTTGGAACTGACTCAATGACACTTAACAACAATAATAACATAAGACAGAGTAGAACTGTCTGACAGGGCTTTCAAGGTTATGAATCTTTAAACGGTCACATCTGTCTCCAGAGCAGCTGGTGGGTTTGAATCATTAAATTTTTGGTTAACAGATAAGTGCTTTAACCACTGTGCCACCAGGGGTCCCAACCAAAAAAAAAAAAAAAGGAATAAAATGAATAGAAGTTGCCCCTAAACATGTACTAATCACTCCATCTTCCTACATACAGCTTCTTATAAATACAGCTCTTGTAATAACTATTCATAACAGTTGGTTAATCTTTCTAGACTTTGTGTCTATCTAAACAGCTATTCTACTTACATGTTTTCATTACTGGAATCATGCAAATATTTTGCTATTCTAAACCAGACTTAGTAAATAGCGTTTTTCATTCATTTTTGCAAACACCAACTATAATTCACTTAGGAACACTTCTTGAAAAACATTTGCTGAATTGAAGGTTATGAATATCTTAAATTTATTTTGTCGGGCTGCCTTCCAACAAAGTTGTACTCATAGTACTCCCCCAAAACAATTAAAAAAAAAAAAAAGTCAATCTTTAGTATTTTTAACCTTTGTTAATGTAAGTGAAAAATGATTTTTTAATGTTCTATTCTGTATTTGTTGACCATTGGAGAGAATATTTCATATATTTATCAATCAGTTGTGTTTCTTTAATAAATACTTCATGATTCTGCTACCAAATTTTCAATTACTTGTCTTTTTCTAATTGACCTATAAGAATTTTTATATGTGAAGATGTAAACCCTCTAAAACTGGTGTGGCATGGGGGATAAATACTGGGCTGCTAGGCTGCACACAAGGTCCTCACTTCAAACCCACCAGCTGCTCTTCAAGCACGCTATACAAAGTTACTATGAGTCAAAACCAACTTAATGACAGCACTTAACAACAACAATAACAACATAAGTATCTTCCTCAGTTATTCATTTGTATTTTAACTCTATATATGATACAACTCACACATGAAAATGTTAATATTTTATGCGATACAATTTGACATATTGTCCTTTTTAGATTCTACACTTCATTGCATGCTTAGAAATACTTTCTCATTTCAGGATTATAGAAATACAGATGTTGTTGTTGTTGTT